CCCATTCACTGTTGTAACAGACCGAGGAAAAACAAAAAAAAAATATTCCTGAAATGAAGAGTGATGAAAATATCGTTAACACCGAAACTGGAAAAAAGAAAAAAGGTGTCAAAAAGATAATTGGAAACAAAGATAGTGAAGATTGTAAACTGAAGGCGAATAAGATTTTGATTAAAAAATCTTTCTTTTCAGTAAGTAACGTGATGAAGTGTCACAGAGATGATGTAGTTGAATATCTAAAGTCAAATGATATTAATGTGTTATCGTGTTACCCAGTGCTGAAGCGTTCAGAAATGGCAAACGATAGCACACCTGATATTGAAAATGAGCATTCAACAATGTTTCGAGTTTGTGTAGAAAGTTGTGACAGCAATAAAATGAAAAATCCTGATATCATTCTGAAACATATTATTGTAAGAGACTGGCACTTTAAAGAAAAAAAACCCGCAAATAATTTTGACAACAACCATGGATAGTAATTTTTCGGATTGTTTTTTTACTATTGACAAAAATGAAGTATGTGAAAATGTTGAAAACTCTCAGCAAAATATTGTAATATATATATGTAAGATTTATGATGTAAATGATTTTAACTCTGAAATGAAAATAATTAAAAATCAATTTAATCAAAATTTATTCAATATTCTACATATAAACGTAAGAAGTTTGTTGAATAAATCTGATGACATTTATGATTTCTTGCGAGAATTGAATTTTGAGATTGATGTTCTCGCAATTTCTGAAAGTTGGCTCAATGACAGCAACGAAAATTTGATTGACATTAATGGATATGTCTTTAAAGGTAAGCACAGAAGAATAAAACACGGTGGAGGAGTCGGCTTTTACATAAAAAACAATTTAGATTACAAAATCCGAGATGACATAACAAGTAAAAAAAATGAATTCGAATTTTTCGTTCTAGAAATAATAAACAGACCTATCACAAAAAATGTTTTAATCATTGTGACATACCGACCACCAACTTATGATGTCAATTTGTCATCGAATG